TGTGTGTGTCTTCCTTACACTCCACAGATAGCTTGATAGGGTAAACCCAAGGCTGCTTCTGTGTCTTCTGGTTGACTCTGCAGATCACTTCCCTGCCGTTGTCTGCCGGTGTAGGGACCAGCCGATACTCGCTGCGTACCGTCACCGTGCCGTCTGGCCCACTCGTGGTGCTGGTCGAATGATTGCCTCCCACTGGCGCCAACCACTCGATCGTGGCTGCTGGTTTGGCGTCCGCTGCCTCACACCGGGCTACCACCACCGACTTGGTGCCAGCTTGGACAGTCACACCATTGGCCGAATTCTTGGGCTTGGCTGGGGGGATGATAGATAAGAAAGACAAGGCGGGGAGTTAAGTAGGAGAGTCCAAGACAGAAGGCACGGAGAGGGGAACAGAGAGAAAAGAAAAGTGGCAGTGCAGGGAGAAAGATAAAAGAAGGGCGGTGAATGGAAAGGGACATCAAACAAGAGGCCCAGGGAGAGAAGAAGAGGGAGGAGGGCAGGGAAAGCACAAGAGGAGGAGGTGGTTCAGTTTGTTGTGCATATATACTGTGGTGGCATCCTACTGTGGCTGTAATGAAATACCGAGAGAAGCAGGAGGCCCTCTGGTGTGACTCTGGGCCAGTCCACTTCATAGGGACAGAAAGAGGAAATACACATAGATCCGTAAAACCACATACACCAGCCAATGCAAGTGTTATAAAGAATCATAATGTTTATACCATGATATGATATGAAAACCGTGTGAAAATGGTCAATTTTATTTGGATAAAACAGTCAGTTTTGAGTTACTGTCACCAAAAATTGCTTTGCTGGTAATTCCCAATTGAATTGAAGCCGAAATCATACTAGTAGTTTCAACAGCAAAATGCACGAAATTGCTTTCCATCTTTGTAATGTTAGGTTTGTCAAACTGTATAGAACTTCTAGAAAGTGCCAATTTTCTACGAAAACGTCCTCCCCTTCTTAGAACAAACTGCTACACTATCAATCTATCAGCAAATGTCACCGAATTCCATTATTTTGTGATGTCAAGTCTTGAAATTTCCTTGTTTTGTTACACCCACTCACCTCAAACATGCATCATGTTGTACTGCACAATATGATTTCATAAATTCCCCCCAAACGCCTTTAAATCTGTTTTATGTGTCTGTAGGCTATGCAGAGAGACAGTAATGGACATGCTGAAATTGAAAGATTTTTCATATCAAGAAAAAGTGAGGCAGTTACCAAAAACAGCGTATCGCCTCCTGATTCACTGAGGCTTCTGTTTTGTCTGTCCTCGTCGGTGGATTTCTTTTCATTAAATGGCTCAAGAAAGAAGTCCTTCACTCTAAGGACAGACAAAATCTTTATCTCTGCTGCAGCTATACTCTAAATTTTAAAAAGTGCCATTTGGCGCCTTAATGTTATAAACAACCAAATATCCATGAGAATAAAAATACAAGGTACTATTAACTTGCAAAACAAACTTTAGCCTTTCCAACAGTGGTAAATGCTTTCCATTAATACTTAATTTTAATTTTTTTTAATGCACCCATTAAAGGTGTTAATTTCAGAGCCTGGTAAGACCAGCACTTAAAATAATAATGAAGTTGTATAAATTCACGCCACACTTTGATTTGTTCACAGGTATAAAGTGCAGCACAATGTTTCACATTAAATTCAGCTCCTATGACATGTATGTAATGACAGCGAGCAGTCTGACGGCGCTGACCTTAAAAAGAAAATACATAGTAAGTCATCGTAACTGGCTATTTTTTCCCCACTTTATTTCATGTTCTTTCTCAAAGTTTAAACTTTGTGTGTAAAGTAAGAATCTAGAATGCACAGCATCAGTAGTTGAACAGTTAGATATTTTTCCTCCTTTTCTGCCTCTTTACAAATTAGTTTGAAATGTAATCATGGTTATTACATTAAACTAGCTGTGAATAAATATGCCTTCAATGAAGATGTCAGTTTTATTAGTTTCTAGTCCACCAGAATCCTCTGAGGTTTTAACCAGAAACTGTCATTAGCCTATCACTGACAAGGGAACATGTCCACCTAAATCATGGAGAGCATTCTGGACATGCTGTGCTCCATGTAAATACCAGATTGGCTGTCACTTCCCAACTATCCTGTGCACATTTGCGGTGCTGGAGCATAACCAGCAGATTCTGGCAAACCCACTACCTTTGTCTCTGTTTTTGCTTTTGTTAACCTCATTTTTTTTTCTTTAATTCTGCTCAATGCCTCACTTACATATGGATAGACAACACTGCTTCAGTCAAAATGGCTACTGTCAATCAACTTGTTCACGACGAGTGTTACATTTAAAATAGCACAGAGCAGCCAAAGAAATCTCTAGTGGGCTACTGTCCAAGTACTCATGAAACCTAGCAGTGTGGGTAGTGTGTAACTGTGACGAGGATTGCATCTAATGTGCATTTCTTTCAATTTTGAAATAAATCCCCTCAAATTAAAGCATTTTATGTAGCATCCAGAATCTTAAATGGAATTTGGTGAACCACCAGTCTTGAAGAACAAAAACAGATTTGTTTGCAGGTTAAACTATAGAATAAAAATATGTATCTGGAATCATTTATGGACAAATGCTTCCACTAGCAGCTGAACACAGAAGCATTGTTGTTTCCATTTACTTACTCATTAGAGACAAACTGGAAAAGAGCAGCTGTGACTCACTCGATACTCTTGGTTACAAGGTACAGTATCTGCTGGCTATGCTTGCAGTGCCCACTTCAACCTCAAGGACCACGTATTTTGGAAAAAATGAATGAACTCACTTTCTTTAAACGAGCCTGTCAATCACTGCTAATTAGACATCATTATCTTGCTGCTGCCTCTGGGCATTTCCAAGATTTTTTAAATGGGTGCCAAAAGGGGAGACCATGAACATGCTCATGTGCAGCCTTGTGTGTCATTACAGATTTATTATGTGAAAAGTTCTGTTGCATGAGATTTTAAACATAATTCTGTGGTGGATAATTGTTTTGCAAAGTGTTTAGACTTTTAACATAATTAAAACTTAAGTACTTAAGCAGCTTAATAATGCACAGTATAATTAATATATATTTAAACTATCCAAAATAAATGTAGTTAATATGCAGAATGACACTTTCCAGATTCATGTACATAATATTATTGTCTCATAATATGGATTTTTTGATCTGTATATCTGTTATGTTGCAGTTGTTGATGATTTTAATTACCTACATATATTAAGGGAGTTCATCTGCAAAAAAATCTAAAGTGCAATAATTGCATCCGAAATAAAAAAGAGTAAAAGCTGAAAGCAGGGTAACATAAAAATATTTCACTCAATGACAAGTACATTAAACCTCAGTAAAGGACATGAGTAACTGAACTGTTGCATTCCTTCTGGTCCTATCCAGGCTCTCATAACGATGGTGGGGATTCTCAGATTAACATTACTCCAGTCCAGTGGCTTTGTTGAGGGCCACCGAGGGAAGCCAATTAGATTTGGTCAGGGGGCGCTGGGGGAATGGGGGAACACTCCCTGCCTCCCTTTTGGACTGCCTTTGTGTCGTAAGGCCTGCATCACCTCTTTGACGAGAACACGGTTGTGTGCCGTTATAACTTTCTTTCTCCTCTACGTTTCTGTTCTAGCTGCTCACTGATGATTGACTGAGGCCAGCTCTGTCTGTCTATCATCCTTAGCATCTAATCCAGTTTCACCTCCCTCCTTATGTTCCAGCCCTTAAAGTCAGTCATAACAACATAATTACACATCAAGGCTCCATGCTACTACGCAGATTGGTACTTGTTTCAAGCGTAGATAGCTCAATTATCTGGAGTTTTTTATGGTAGATAGACAGACAGACACTCATTTAGATTCTTCTTTTTATATTTCTCTACTCTTATTATGACACTTTGTAGTGTTAATCATCATACAGATGACTCTGTTAGCTTTGACAGGTTTATTTTAATTGACTTCAAATTTAATAACAAGAAAATCTAACGTAAGCCAAAATTAGCATCACATATTACATACTTGCACATTTTTTTCTGAAACCTGAAAATCATATAGAAGAAGAAACAAAAGGAAGGAAAAACAAGCAGAGATAAAGTGAGACAAGAGAGGTGAGGGAGAAACTGGAGGAAACAGAAGCCAACAGAGGAAAGAGACAGAAAGAGACTGACCGGGCAGAGAGTAAAGCAGGATGGCAGAAAGGGGTTCGGATTGATCTAGCAGCTTAAACGAGTCAGGAGTATCCATCCCTGATGTGTTTCGTGACACTGCATTCAATTGAGCCTGTTGCTACTCCTCACATCAGTCTGAGGCGAGTACAGAGCAATTAGAAGGCAAGCGGGAAGCCATGCTAACAGAGTTAACAAACGCTGCAGCCCCAACACCCATCCTTATCACAGACCTCCGAACACGTCACCACCCCCCGGCGGTAATATCAAAAGGCTGAATGTCGGAAATTGACAGGGAGAAAGGAAAAATGCATTAAAATAATGTTTCCAAACACAGTTAACTGCATGAGGTGTTTGGTTTATAAAACCAAGCACTTAGAAAGAAATGTGTTCAAAAGGTGAACGCATCATACTCCCCACATGCTTCATTTTAAGTGTTCCAATTGCATTTTAATTCGTGTTTTGACCAAAGACTTTGGTAATCATAACAAAAGCATTGCAGTTAAAAACTTTTCTAAACTCTCCCAAAGCAGCAAATTTATTTGCCCTCTAGAAACAATTAGATTTCAGAGCAACACATTTTCAGAAGAGACCATTTTCCCGCCTTCCTTTATATAAAGATTTGTTGTGAAGCCGTCACTGTACCGATAGAGATTCTCATCACTGTTCGGCAGGGATGACACCTACCCTAACTTGAACCCATGACTTCTCTAAGATTGTCTCTTCACAGAAGAAGGCCTCTCACTGGAAGGTTGCCAGACTGAATCATAAACACGATGGGGCTATCTGCCAAACGCAAAGATTTGAGAGTGTGAAGCCAACTGTTGCTGAATTAAGGTGGCATTCGGGTAAGACAGCTGACATCTGTCATAGTGGCAGAGCTTGTGTTGAAACCAACCAAGCACCAGAAAGCAAATGAGTGAAGCCAAGAACTGACCTATATTACTGCTTATATTTGGAGATTGAAGATTCCACCATAGAAACATACGTATGGAACCATAACAGTTTGATTATGAGAGTAATATTCAAATTGTGTAGATCAGATTAGAAGTGGTTTTAGTTTATACTTCATACATCTTTGAAACCACGATTATGGAACCTGTCCTAATCTAATTCTCCAAAAACTTTCAGAAGTTCACATATGAAAATTACTA